CTATTTTGATATAACAATTGCTTTTAGTTATTTTCTGTTCTTAAATGTTTTTTTTCTCACTTCTTCCAGGATGGATTAAAGCTAGCTAAAGAGATTGCAAAGATACACTATGAGAATAAAGATGTCCACTTAGCCCGAGATGCTATGGAAACTGCCTTCAGGAAGTACCCGTCCTATGTTACCCCAGAGGATGTGAACTTAATGCTTGAAGTGTTAATGCATCAGCAGGAGTATACAAAGTGTATAGAGATTCTTATCAATCATGCAGGAGTTCAGCTTTTGAACAAGGTGAGGTTCAGTTGATGGCTGTCCTAAATTCCCATTTCTTTAACCCCTGAAGGATGGTAGAGTTCAGAAGGTTATATGCACTGTTGATTGGATTTTTTTTATACATAGTAATTTTTGTTATTTCATTATAGTTTTGATATTTGTTAGATGGATAGTATAGAGGCTTTTAGGAGTCTGTGCTGCATTTTATCTTCTAAAGATTAGTCTTGTATAAAAGTGGGAAGTGATATGCTCTTTTTTAAAGATTTGATTATATTATATAATTATATTATTCAGATATAAGTAATTTTTGAGATGATGGAACACTCTAATAGATGTAAAAGTCTTCCATTACATACTGGGCAAGATATATCTACTTTTATTTTCAACACTGACTGCTACTTAGTTTATGTATATATTGGTAGCACGTTGGTGAAGAGGAATTCCACAGTCGCAGTTTAGAGGAGCAGTTATCCCAGGCAACTGAGTGTTATGTTCCTGCAGACTTATTGATTGATCTTCACACAAAATTGACTGTGTCCCTGATTCATGTGAAAGCATTTGAAATCAGCGCACCACTGGTTGAGCAGCTGATGACGTGAGTTTTGGGGAGAAAATAGTATTTCAACTCATAGTATAGAGTGCTGAATTAAGGGTTTATGCTGAGTTTGTAGATATTTGATGAGAAAATGAGAGTGATCTTCAAAAGATATTAACCTTAACATTATTAATTATATGAATATTTAAGGAATGGTAATATACATGCCTTGATAACCTACAGTGAGTCAGTGGAGGAATTTGGTGACCTGTATTTAGACATTGCTGAAGCCTACATGGATGTTGATTTCCACGAAGCTGCCCTCCAACTGCTGCGTCCACTCATCAACTCGGATCACTATAATGTTGCTGCTGTTTGGCTTCAGTATGGGGAGAGTTTGGCAGCTGTTGACCAGATGGAGGAAGCTGCTGAGGCATACAACAAGGTTATTAAATAAGAATTTTCTTTTACGATTAGTATGTTATGTTATGGTATGATATGTATCTATATAACATGCTTTGAATGGCTCTGAAATAACATAACATATTTGGTGTACATTTTTTGCAATTAAAGATGATTATGACTTCAAGATTTGCAGATATTTTCTCTTAGCAAAGGAATTTTTCCATTTCTTGTGTATAGTCTTTACCAGAACTATTTTTTTTTTTGTAAAAGCTTGTTGGCAATTATTAATATAAATTAGATCATTTATTCTAGTTTTGATACATATACACAATTAGTTATGAAAATTAAACTCTAAAGGATATACTTAGAGACCATTCGGTTTATTCTCCCCTTGCGCTATCTCCCTCAACACAGGTGGTGAGACTGGCGCCGCAGCATGCCGAAGCCCGTCTGACCCTCTCCTCCATCCTGCAGTCGCTTGGCCGCCTGGATGAAGCTCTCCTCATCCTGAACCAAGAGAGTGACTTTGAGCCTTTGGACTCACAGCTCCTCTTCCAGCGATGCAAGATCCTGCTTGATCAGAACCTTGTTGACGAATTCATTAATGCTGCTAAATTGCTGTTCAGGAGGCATTTTATTCATATTAGGTAAATTTTGAGTTGATTTTTGTATACACATTGCTGAAAGTGACTGTGTGTATGAATGAATGAATGATGCTGTGTATCTAAACATCATTTAGTTTGTGTGTATGTTTGTATGTCAGTGTTTTATGTTGGTTAAATTCATATAAAAACCTTTAGTGTGGCCAGTGTTCTGGAACTCCTGTGTAAGGAACTATCCCTGTCATCCCAAAATGCAGCCTTTTACCACATCAACAGGCTACACAGGACACTTGACCTTGCCCTTGGATTGTGCAGTTAGAGTGTCTAGGGTAGGGGGAGAGGGTGGGTGGATCTGCCCTGGAAAATGCTTTGTTGGCTGCAGCAGTTTTGGTGAGCATACTGTTAATGACCTTGGAAATCCTTGATTCGATTTTCTCTGAGGGACTTATTGGGGTTTTTGCTAACATGAGAAAGTCTTCTAAGTTTACTGTATTTTATATAAAGGGAATATTTTTTCTATTTTCAACTGTATTATTTTGTGAAGCCAAGGAACTTTTGGTTTCATATATGATATGATATGAAAATTAACTTTGGTTTTCTGAACAGTGACAGCAGTAAACTAGAAAAAAAATAGGGCAGGGGGGAAAATCTACCTGGCAATTTGCTGGATGTTTTTACACTTCTCAAAGTTTCTTTATTAGTCTGAAAATATCAAGTAATTCCTGATTTGAGTATATCACAGAGATGACCATAAAACAAAGCTGGTCTGGTGATTAAGTGTATTTCAGGCCAAGCAAAAAGTAGCTAGACTGATTGCATTTGTTTCCTCATCAAATGTAATAAATGTAGCAATGATAAATGAACTCTCCTGACAGAAATCGAGATGAGGCAGAAGCCATGATCAGCAACAAGAAGCTGAGCAACAAATACGAAGCCATCAGAGAACTCCGGCGTTCCAAGAATGAGAGTCTGGAAGACAATGGCCCAGCTTACACAGGGCCAGATGTGTCCATAGAAGATCAGTGGGAACTCTTTACCAGTGTGTGTAATATCCTTCATGAAAAGAAGAGGTGAGGAAGTTGTTTTTTTTCATTGTGACTTTCATCAAGGATATTGTGTGATTTTTTATGGTTCTCTTTGAGGTGGTGTTATGATTATTATGATTTTTTTCTGGCAATGTAGGCATCTCATATTCTTGACATTTAGGTAAAAAAAGAAAAAGAGAAAAGAAATTTGGTCCTAAAAATTTTCTCATCACTGTTTTGTGCAGGTTTGAAGAACTAGAAAGGATGACTTTCACAGCCCTTGGGTCTAAAGAATTTATGAAGGACAAGGAACGTGCAAGAGAGGTTGAGTTTATGTGCCTCTTAGCCTGTATCTACAATGAAAGCTCCTACTTTGCCTACAACATTATGAGGGAGCTGGTGATCAAGAACCCTGAGAATGTGAGATGCTGGAACCTCCTCAACCTCATCATCTCCAAAGCAGACGACTTCCGCCACAACCGTTTCCTGCTTCGCCTGACCCACAAACACCCAGACCTGGTAGCCCTGGGATTGCTCAATGGCCACAACTGTTTGGTGGCCGGCACCTACAAATATTCCTTAGCAGAGTACACAGGTGCCTTCAAGCAAGACCCAAGCAACCCCCTCATTCCACTCATGCTTGGACTGACCTTCACCCACATGGCCTGCCAGAAATTCAGTGGGAAAAAGCACTCGCTGGTTGTGCAAGCCTGCGCATTCTTAAATACTTACGTTGAGATGCGCGGAGAGTGTCAGGAATCAATGTACAACTTGGGACGAGCCATGCACCAGCTGAATCTTCTCCCACAGGCCATCCACTACTACAAGCAAGCCCTTACCTGCCAGCCTGTTGAATCACTGGAAGGAGGCCCCATGTTAGACCTCTCAAGGGAAATTGCATTTAACCTTGCATTGATATATCAGAACAGTGGCTCTCCAGATTTGGCAAGAATGTATATGTATAAGTACATACAAATTTAGTTTATGAATAGAGTGTACATATGTTGTAATGAATATATTCATTCTTCTTTCTGGCAGTGGGAAATTCAGAATTTTAGGGACCAATAAAGCAATCCAGTAAACTAGGATATTAGGATATATGTAGAAAATGTATCATGGTCATACATGTGAATTGGTTGTGTATGTCATCAGAGGGAGACTTTAATTTCAGTAAGGAATATAGAGAGAAATTAAGAATAACAAGTATAACCAAAGGAAAGTATTAATAATTAAGAGAAATTGTGAGTGGGGCATTAATAAGAAATATTTATTTTGTAAATACTGTGTATATATATATATATATATATATATATATATATATATATATATATATATATATATATATATATATATATATATATATATATATATATATACATATATATATATATATATATATATATATATATATATATATATATATATATATATATATATATATATATATATATATATATATATATATATACACATATATATAGAACAACATTTGGATTAATGTTACTCATAGGAATGTGTGTGCGTGTGCATGTGTATGTGTATGTGTGCATGTGTGCCTGCTTGTGTGCAATCATTATAATGTTTTCCTCTTTCTGCAAATTGTCTTTAATCATCAACATATCATCAAAATATATTTATATCTTTTGTAAATAGATAAATGAAATATGATAAGAATATGTTGAAAAATAAAGATATCATTACTTTAGATATCTTTGGATTTTATTTTCTTTGTTAACCAATGCCGCCGGGGAAAATGAAGAAAAAATGGGGAAAATGCTGTGCTCATTTTCTATATTTTTGTGAAATGTCTCTGCACATAGATGGATCTACTAGTGCTTAGCCACAAAGGAGTCAATTAGTAGACCTTGTGACCTTACGTGATTTCAATTAGAAAAAATGTAATTTTTACTAGGGCTATGAATATCAGTAGTGTTATTTTTATCATAAACATTATAATTACTATAATGTTATAAACATTAGTAACAGCAAAATAAGATAACGTAAAATATTTTCGTAATTTATAATTCTATAATTTTCGTAATTAATAATTTCATTAAGATTCAAGGGATTTCATGAGTTCCTCTACCTTGCTGTTTGACTACACTTATAGTATTGATATAAAATGATGCCCCAGGATATGAATCTTTATGCAATTAGCTACTT